GCGCTTTTTTTAAACCTTTTTTTTTTTTTTTTTTTTTTTTTTTCTTTTTAAGTCATCCAAATTTAGGCCTTTTGGATGAAAGGTCAGCATCCTGACCCTCGTGGTAAATATGAAAAGACAAATATTGTGTGTGCAGCACTGTTTCCCTTAACAAAACACGTATGTATGTTGTCACGGTACAAAATAGTTTTTATTCCTACATCTTAGACTGGGATCAGGATACTCAAAAGGTAATAATTTCTTATGTTAAGAAGCCTGCTGCTCTGTTGTTCCTTCCTCCACCAGAGGAGCTCAAAAGATTATTCTTCTTTCATTATTCTTAATCCAATTCTTCAGTAGAAATGAATGTTCTTTTTATTGAATCCATTTATTTAATTGCTGCTTCAGGAAAGCTATTTCATGGCCCACAAGAAGTTAGAAAAGCTTGGATGTTTTCTATTTTATTGGGTTATAAGGTTTACTGTGAGGAAGGTTGGTGCAGAAGTCATCGGGAAATCTGGTCTTACTGTTGCATCCACGCCCCTTTATGCACTCTGATATGCCAGAAGGACAAATGGAGCATCCTCCTTCCTCACCTGTGTGGGACAGCTCAGTGTCACACATTTTGCTATGGAGTATTTTTTCTTGCCCCATAATATCAGTGACAGGGAGTCTGTCTGTCACTGGACACTCTTATGCCAAGTTGATAGCCGTAGAAAAATCTTTTGATGTGTGCCTTCAAACTCTGTTCCTGGAGGCACAGAGCCAATCTGGATACAAATAATCTTCTCTCCCCCCTCTCCCTGCCTGGGTGATAATCAGGGGTTATCACCCTTTGCTTGTTGTTTGTGTTTTGGACAGCTGGGCAGGACAGAGCAATATTGCAGTAATAGATGTGACTATTAATTAATTATTAATAGATGTAACATTTAGTAATAGATGTTTTACTCCTGAGCAGAGAGTGTGGGGTTTTTTTTCCTTAGAGTAATTTCCAAGTGTGAACCCTTAGATTGAGCTGCAAAGCCTCGCTGAGCAATGGCTCTGTTCCCAGAGACTTCTCAGTGTGGCCACCCGCTCTGCCTGTCTCTCCCATTGATTTTCCTTCCTGAAAGACAAGCACTGACTGCAGGCCCACTCAGACTGGTGCTGCTGAGGAAGCGAGGGAAAATGAAAGGAAGAAACAAGGTTTTGACTCCAGGCACTGAAGGCAACTGTCTTTTTTTTTTTTTCTGACACCCGAGTGGGAGTTGGCTGGGATCTGTCAGGCTTCAAGTTCTCACAGATTTGGTAAATATTTAGGATCTGACTCACCACTGAATCAGTCCTTTTATTTTTTTTTGACTCTGTTCAGAGAAACAGCTCTGCCGCTTAGATAACACCAACCCTCTGAGGTCCTCTCACTTTTGTATTTTAGCATTTCGTGGTCATGTATGCCTGTCCTCACAGTACTGCCTTCAGGATGGGAGATGCCATCAGCCCTGGCTGGCAGAGGGTCTCAGAGGCACAGTGGTCACAGGCACCTGAGTTCCCCTCTGAAATCCAAAACTGGCTGAAAGCTCCAGCCATCAGCTGGTGAGACCCCAGCTCCTTAGTGTATGGTGAATCACACACCAGCTCCTGATTCTGCCTGAGGGTCATTTAGTAGCTGCACTGCTTGTATTGCTATACCAGGGAGAGCTTCTGTGGAAATCAAGAAGAGCACAATTCCCCCCCAGAGACGACTGTGATCAATGTTTTGTATGTACAGACCTCTGCTTTCATTGCAGGTGGAAGACAGCATGATGGATGTGTATGATTTTGTGTACGAGGAGGTGAGGAGGAACACCTCCAGCTCCAGGAGGCACGAACTGACTGCCATCCATGAAGCAGTAAGTTGTCTTTCACCTGCAGGGGAAAACCTCGCCCTGGGGTATCTTCCTGAGGGTTTTGGCAGGCTGGGGCTGACATCTGTGCTCTCTCATGAATGCTGCAATGCCATTTTCCCTCAAGAACTGAGTCCTCCAGCCTACCATGGAGTCTGCTCCTCCCTTCCTATTCTTCCTTTCTCAGGTCTGACCAACCAGATTGTCAACAGGGAGAAAGGGTCACCTCTCTGAGCATCACTGTGGCACGAGATCTACAAAGCTTATGCCCTGCAGCTGCCATAGTATTTTCTGTCTCAGCAGCCCCTGTGACTTGCTCCCCATCTGTGGTACAAGAGTGTGGACATGTACCTGGTCAAGTAGAGAGGAGGGGCCAGGAATTCCATGTAGTCCAGAAGTAGTATTTGCATGTGGTTATTCCTATTTACCTTCAAGTTTGTGTCCGAGGAGTACCGGGACGTTCATGGCCTCTTACAGAGCTGGAGACTGCTATCAGGCTCCCAAAAACCACTACCCAGGATGCTGTTGGCATAGGGCACTTCTCTATGGCTCAGCCAGGTAGGCAGGGGTGGTTATCCAGAGCACAGGGAGGACACTTGCCCCCAAAGCCACGGGAGATGAGTGAGAATGTCCCCCACAGGGAGAAACTCCCAAGTCCCTGCTGAGTAAAGGACATGCCATTCCCTCACACAGCAGGGCTTGTTTGGAGAGTGAGTTCATGGCACACAGCAAGGCTGGATGGGGAGGTCAGCTCTGCTCAGCTGTTTCCAGACACCTCCCACACAACTCCCTGTATCCTTCTGTGTTTTCTTAAATCATCATAACAAGTACTTTTCAAAGCTGTTTCTATCTGTGGTTCTGAAAACACAGAAGAGGGCAAGTGTTCCTCTTTGGTGGTGGTGGCCCCCAGAGGCATGACCAGGCATGCAAGTGCTTGCTCTCAAGGTTGTGGAGCAGCATTCCCAGGGTCCCATTTGACAAGGAGAACCAGTTGACTGGCTTCACCAGTTGCTTATTTTAGTTGCCACCTGAATTGATGGAGAAGCAGTCTTTATACTCCTGGGGTTTTTTTTTTTCCCTTCTGCCAAAGCTCCAAACTGTCCAGTGCACCCCAGCTTTAGGAAACCAGCTCCACAGTGGGTGTTGCTGGGGATACCCATAACAATCACTGGAAACATGAGTTCAGAATCATGAGCATCCCTGGGCTTTCCAGAGCATTAGTATGACCACAAGGGGAGGGCTTTTGCCCGGTCCCAGGCAGCAGTCCTGGAGGAGCACGGGCAGGTTTGAGTGCAGATCCACCCGCCTCCCCTGAATGTAGCCTGCATTGCTGCAGTTGTTGATTCCTACGTGCTTTGCTCCTTGCCACCCTGGGTGGGTATCCCTGCCTGGGGCAGCAGGGGCCCCTTGCCAGCACCTCCTGCTGCAGCAGCTGGTAGCAAGGGGAGAGAGCCCTGGGGAGCAGCTGGCAAACTTCTCCCTCTCTTCCAGTTCCTGTGCTGTGGGAAGCACTCTCCTTTTGGGGACACAAGCAATGTTGAGAACGAGATGTGCCCACCCAGCCAAGTGCACAATGAAGGACAGGTAAGGGAAAGGTTTCTCCTACACCAAAGTGGGGTTGTGCCTCTTTCTAGCTATCAAAACCTCACCAGTGCTAAAGTGTTAATGAGAATTGTGCTTTTTCATGGTTTGGGGTTGAAATGGTTTGGGATTTGTTTTGTTGGGGTTTTGTTGTTTCAATAACACTGGACACAGTATGGGGGTAGTGCCTGGGGTCCAGCACAGGCAGGACATCGACCTGGAGGAGCAAGTCCACCAATATAGTCAGAGGGATGGTGCATCCCTCCTATGAGGGATGGCTGAAAGGATTGCTTTTGTTCACCCTGGAAAAAAGACGGCGGGGAGGTGACCTAATTGTGTCCTGCTGGAAAAGGAGAGAGATGCAAGAAAGAATGAGAGGGACTTTTTGCACAAGGGTGTAATGACAGGGCAAGGGGGAACAATCTTGAAACTGACAGGAGTTTTAGATTAAATATTAGGAAAAAATTCTTTACTGTGAAGGTGGTGAGGTACTGGCACAGCTTGCCCAGAGAATTTATGAATTCCCCATCCCTGGCAGTCTTTAAGGCCAAGAGGGATGGAGCTCTGAGCAACCTGATCTAGGGAAAGGTGTCCCTGCCCATGGCTGGGTGGTTGGAACAGATGGGATCTTTAAAGTCCCTTCCAGCCCAAATCATTCCATGATTCTGTGAATTAGGAGGAAGGACCCTGGTTGATCAGCAGGTCTCAGGCCCACAGGTGCCATTTCCTTCGCTGCTCTAGAAAGCTTTCAAAATGCTTGTGTTTGCAGCCTGTCACTTGCCTGCAGCTTTCTGCTTATCTCCTGTGCTTGCAGAGAGCGTGAGATATCACAGACATGTATCAGAGCACAGAAAAACTGTTTGACTTTTCCACATGACACTAATTTCTGACACTTAAAATGTGTTCCAGTAACAGCAAATGTGGAATTTGATGTAATTCCTTTTTTTCCTGAGGCATTAAATACGTATTAAAATGAGAAGCTGATGAATCAGGGTGATGATGCCCAGCAGTAGCTTCCTCAAGCACGCTTCATTGTGGCTCTTTCAAGTACCTCAGTGAGGCTGCTGGAGATGCCACCAGTATTAGACCGTTCTGTGCTGAAGCTACAACTTCATAGTCTCTCAGCAAATCTACTGCACGATCGTTTTTCTTCCACCAGTGTAGCTAAAGCCACCAGCATCAATATATGGTGTTTCTAGGAAAAACAAAACCACACTGCTGCAGTGATACAAACAGGCTGTCAGGTGAAGATGTCAAGTGCTAGCAGCACAGCTGATGCACAGGCACACGTCAGCTCACAGGGGCAGCGTTTCAAAGCACAGCCTCCAGGAATGTCACATCCCAGGGCCGAACTGGGCTCAAGGAGCAGGAAAGGAGAGCAGAACAAAGCTGGGCACTGTATGGGCGACTCATTCCTCCCACTTAGTGGTCTGTGTTTCCCTCGCTTGGGAGCCGAGGAAGCGAGTGGGAGGATGTGCTTTGTGTAACACAGGAAACCACAGGGTTTGGTGGCCACACTACATTCACTCCTGGCCGTGAGTGCTCTTTCCTCAGTCTGCAAACCCCTTCATCAAGGGCATGCTCTTGCATTTCTGAAATGGCTGTCTTGGCTAACACCTCGGGGATTTCTGTGGGGCCATTGGCATGCTTAAAGCTAATGTATATTAATGCTTGCAGCACCTCACAAAAATGAGCTGTTCATTAGTAACCTTGGGGAGTGCATTTGGCACCACGGTGTGCTCTGCTTTCCCATTTCCATTTCCTTCTTTCCATTATTCAGTGGGTGAAAAGAAAAAAGCTTTTGCATGACCACACTTAAGTACACATCCCCCACAGTCCAAAATGCATTGCACCAATAAATGTGTTGTAGCAACAGAAAAGTTATCACAGATGTTTGTCTTCCCAAGCTGCAGCAGCAGCAGAAAAAGGAAGAACTGCCCAGCTGAGCAATGCTGCACCCCTTTCTTGCCTCCTTTTCTCTCTGAGGCTGTGGAAGTGCTGTCATGGGGATAAAGCCCCCCAGCAAGCTGCTCCTGTGCTGCAAGGGGTGTTTGTTTCTCTCTTCCCAGGACTGCCTGCGAGAGATCCAGGACTTTCTGAAGAAGCACATGGACTTTGTCTTCTCGCTTCTGGGCATCGCCATTGGCTTCACGGTAATAGTGCCTGTCCTTTCACATTTTGGCTCTGAAAGGCAGGATCCAATGAGGAAAAAGCAAAATTAGCCCCCAGAGGCTAGGATTTTGGATGTTTTTGGATGCTGGCAGCAGAGAAACAAGCAGTGGTGGACTCTCCACCATGGAAACTGGGAAAAGATCAGGAATCTGGCCAGGCTGATAGGTGGAGGGGTTTTCCTGCAGGACTAGGCTCACTGCATGGTTTTCGTGCCCTAACGAGGCATGGCATCTGGGAGTGGGGAGGAGGAGGCAGCAGCAGCAGCATTTCATCCACCCAGGCTTGCCTGCATGACTTCTCATGAGTGAGGTCCATATCACCTGATGACATGAGTGAGAGGCCGTTTCACCTCGCCCGGGGCTTGTGGATTATGTAGGAAGCCAGCAGCAATGGCTGAAAAGGAGATGCAATAAAGCCTTCATATTTTAGGAAACTTGCTGCCTCCTAGATCAACCTGGGAAGTTGTTTGTGCAGCCAGAGCTGGAAGGTCTTGGAAGCTACTGAGCCCCAACAGTGGAGCTGGAGAGCTGTGCAGAAGGGGAAGGTCTCATCCTAGTCCTCGCTCATTAGTGAACCTGATGAGGTTCATCTTGGGCAGTGTGTGGGTAAATCACAGGCTCATAAGGAGCAGGCTGCAAAGAAGAGGGGAAGAGTGTGTTGTCTGGGCTCCCAGGTTCTGTCTTTGAAGGAGTAACATGCAGAGGAGGGGTGAAATCATCTTCAGATGGTGGCTCATGTAGAAAGGATCTGCAGTTAATTTTGGGGAGAACAAAAGAGAAAATGAAATGCTGTGAGAGAAGCATGTTTGTCAGTGGTGAGGGAGTTCAGGGGCTGCATGGGGATGGTCTCTTTGGAGATGGAGAGGGCCACTAATTAAAACCAGCCTTCTTGTTTGCCCACCCACTGCTTGGCAGAGGTGTATCACTGTACACAAGGACTCTGAACATGTGGTGGTGCACATCAGAAAACAGCATGTGCCAGGAGACTCCTTTCTCCACCGTGAAGGCTGGTTTGATCTGCTGTCATATCTCCATGCTGCTCCCCAGCTGGGATGACCTTTCTTGACTGAAAGTAATTTGAAGATTGTGCCTTGTATCCACCTTGGCACAATTATGGATTAGAAGATTCTTCTCCATCTAAATAAAACCCAGAGGAACAAATTATTTGTATTTAATACTGCTAGCAGTAAATTAGGAAAACCATCAGGCATTGATATGGAGCTGTAAATGTAAAGTCATGTGTGAATATTTGGTGTCACTTTCCAATTTTTCTCAAGTATAGGGAGAATTTTACTGCAGCTATATTCAGATAAAAGTAGGAGCACTTATAATAGATACACTTTTTTCACAGCTTGATGCTGTAGCCAGATAAGGCAGCTGTCTTTGAAGCCTGGGCTAGAGGAAATCTCGCTGCACGGTTCACTATTGTGATGGCAGGATGCAAGGGAAGCACGTAAAGAGGGCTATAGCTGCTCTGATGTCACTGTCCCTCAGCCAACAATGCACACACATCCCCAGATCAAGCTGCAAGCAAAGGCACTAGCACATTAGGGCATACTTGAGGAAAGAGCACATTGTTACAGGCCTCATTATCCTTCCCACAGCAGCCTTACCTTGGACATGTTGCCTTGGATGTGTTAATCCTGATGTGTGATACACGAGGCAGAGTATGACAATGGTGAGGAAATACACTGTCCTCTGCATTCATAACTGTTTGGGGTTGGTTTAGGGGTTTGTTTGTTTGTTTGGGATTTTTACTTCAAACAAGACATGAGTGTTGTGGTTTTTTCTCCCTATGGTACCTTTACAAAAGGATATTATTATGAGAGAGATATGTTTGTTTGTATTCCTGTCTGTGGCAGGAATTGAAATTTCCTGGTTTCATCTTATTTCTTGGTATTTTTAGGGCTAGGTTTGAGCTCTGCTGTGCTAATTCCAATCAGATGTTTTAACCATGTGTTGCTTTTGTTTTTTAACTCCCGTGTCAGAAATGGTGTTCACCACTTCACTGAAAACCAGCTCTCTTCAGAAAAATGTGACAACAGGCAATATTTATGACTGCTTATTTGCACAGATGGAGCATCATAATCAGTTACACACTTAATTGTATGCCTGTCTCATTTATTTCCTTTTAGGTTTATGGGATGATCCTAACTTCGTTCCTCTGGTTCTCCATCCACTTCAGCAGCAACCTGTACCGGAAAGGCAAATATATCCTACGGGAGAGGTAGAAACCTGATGCCTGGGCATCCCTACCAGGCAGAGCCAGCTCTTGGCACAGGAAGATGTCTGAAGTCACCCACAAAATGCCCTGGAAAGGTATTGCGTGGAGTCAGGTGGTGGGATGTGTGTCACACATTTCCCTTTCCTGCACTACTTCTGGGCTCAGAGATGCAGATTCCCTCGATGGGAGATGTACGGGCTGTGGCTCCACAAGGAGGACACAAAGAGTTCTTTACAACCAAATGGAGAGAAAAGCCCAGCAGAAATCACAGCATTAAACCAAACTTCTCTCGTGTTGTCATCTGAGTAGTTCCCTGTGACCCTCAAAAATGCAGTGTTTCTATGAGGATGGCTTTGGATCACAGCCCAGGATCAATGTTGCACTATCAGTAAATAAATGACAGGGAGTATGTCACCACTGATGGAAATGTGCTCTCCCAGCCTGGACACTTGCAATGATTAACTTTGGGCATGTTTCTGATCGTGCTGGGGTACATAGGCATCCAATGACTGTCAGCTAGTTTTCCCATTTTCAACCATTGCCAGATTTATAGAACTTTTGGTAGATATCAGGACAAAAAAGTCAGAAGAAAGTGAATGAACTTTGAAACAACTGACCAACAGAAGGACATATTTCTCTTTTATTCCTCCTTGCTAATGCAATACAACTTTTTTTTTTTTTTTTATTCTTAGGATTTAGTCAGCCTCCTAAATCTTGATGCCATACTGATTTCACCGGCGCTTGTTAAGCTGCACCTTGCATGTTGCGTCTAATTCTGGGCCCCTTAATTTAGGAAGGATGTTGAGATGCTCAAAAATCTCCAGGGAAGGGCCAGAAGGATGGTGAGGGGTCTAGAACACAAGCCTCTCTGTGAAGAGTGGCTGAGGGAGCTGAGGTTATTTAGCCTGGAAAAAAGGAGCCTTGGGGTGATCTTATTCCTCTCTACAACTCTCTGAAAGGAGTTTGTAGCCAGGTGGTGGTCAGTCTCTTCTTCCAGGCAACCAGTGACAGGATGAGAGGACACAGTCTTAAGCTGTGCCAGGGGAAGTTTAGGCTAGACATTAGAGACAAATTCTTCACAGAAAAAGTGATTGGGCACTGGAATGGGCTGCCCAGGGAGGTGGTGGAGTCACCATCCTTGGAGATGTTTAAAAAAAGATTGGATGTGGCACTCAGTGGCATGGTTTAGTTGATAAGGTGATGTTAGGTCATAGGTTGGACTTGGTGATCTCCAAGGTCTTTTCCAACCTGGATGATTGTGTGATTCTGTAACTTCCAGCCCAGCTCTATGTTTATCAGGCTTTCCTAACCCACTGTGCTCCTGTGGTAAAAGGACTTTGATATTACACACACAAACAGAGGTTTAAATCTATAAGAGAGCAGGACAGATCTCCAGCCAGGTTAAACAACATAATGTCCAACTCTATGTCCTTTTTACATCACCTTATCAATAATAAACAGAATTTGTAAAAGGCTGTCAGTCTAGCTGAAACAACAGCTCCCTGGCATGCTTTGCCCTCATGTTGAGGAGGCGGAGCTGCTTCTGAGCTGAAACCCATCATTGCAATATATGTAGCACCTGCTGTAGATTACACAGCTCTGTGAAATGTCTGTTGAGCCAGCAGCAGCTTTCATGCCTCCCATACATAGTGGCTTTTAGGCATGAAAAATGGTAAGTGGCAATTGTTTACTGAGATAAACATGGACAACCCTGTGCTGATGTTCAGTCCTGGCCCACAGGCAGGGGCTGCTGCATGTACAAGAACAGCAGTACACCCTGCAGCACCTGGCTGGCTTTTTAACCTGGGCTGAAAATACATTGCATTGGAAAGAGTTGTGTTGTGGAGGGCTGAGGGAGAGCTGTCACTTCTCATTCCATGCCTGTGGAACCAGCAGAGCTTCACTGTTGACTTCACTGGAAGCAAGAACTGTCCCAGTGTAATATTCAAGCTACTTCCTGGCAGCCACCAACACACCTCAGTCTGGCAGGGAACTGGGTGTCATATGCACTTCCCAGCATATGCACTTTCTAGGGGGGGGAGTATTCACTTGTATGTCTATATGTATCATCTATGTATCATCACATATATTGTCTCTTTCCAGAGATCAATCTCCCTGGTGAGCTCCAGCTGCTCCTGTCAGGCCACTGCTATTGTCATTCCTCAGGCAGCTGGCAGCTGATATGACTCATGGTTGCTTCAATAAAGATTAATTTCTTGCAGAAGGCCATCATTCCTCCTCTTTTTTGTGCTGTGCATGAAGCTGCCTGCATAGCTTGGGGTTTACATCATGGTGGGTGGACTCAGTACTTCTTTCGGTGCTGGGAAGAGATATTCCCCAGGCAGCTGGTGCTCGTTTGTCCCAGCAGTGTGCTGGAGGGAGAGGATGACATTGGTCCTTTGGGGGAAAAGGAGCAGCTCCTCAGCCAGTTGATGGGACAGCAGACAGGTACCTCTCAGGGAGCAATGCAGAGGCGGGAGAAGTGCTTAAGGACATGTTTAAGCTGTAACAAGCAGAGTATTTATATGGAAGAAATGTCTATGGTTTCAGCTTTTTAAGGATTAGGTAGAGGTCTCACACATTGCTCTGCATTGGCTGGTTAATTGCTGATACTCTACCATGTCAAAAAACATCACAGACAAATTGGTGGAGTCAATGTCATTGGTGTGGGTTACCTACTCAAGCCTCATCAACATTGTACTTGTTAAACATCTCTGTTAAAGCATCACCACCAGGACTGCTGAAGCTTTAGGTGCTCCACCTTCCCAGGTCAGTTTTTAATGTAGAGACATAGTTATAGACAGGACTAGCATATATATGATGAAGTTAGCTGCTTTTCTGCTCCTGAAAATTACAGAGGGATCTCATCACAGGGCAGCAGGAGCCCCTGCAGCTACACACAGCACAAGCTCTGGAAGAAGACTGTGTCCAGCCACTGTCAGTCCTGTGAGCTTTATTTCCATTTCACTGGCTGCTGGAGCTCCCCTGCAAGGAGCAGCACCTTCAACAAGGAGGTGACAGAGCCATGCCCAGTTGGACAGAGTCTTCTCCCAGAGTTTGTGTTGTGTGTGGCAGCAGGGGCTCCTGCCACCCTGCCATGAGATCCTGCTGTGATTTTCAGGAGCAGAAAAGCAGATACCTTCAGCTCCTTGATTTTTACAAACCCATTACAGAAATGTGCAGTGTTAACATTTTATTCGCAGTTGTAGAAGTGGCAGCACCGAGGGATGGCTGGATGGAACCTGCAGGGTGGGTGAGTGTTACACAGCGTTTTTACACCTCTGCCAACAAAAAATCCCTGTCCTACAATGAATGTTTTTGCACTTACTAGTCCCTAATTTTCTGCTGGCTAGGGGCAAATTACAGTTCTTGTGCAACCAGAGTAAAGCCCCAGGAACTTATTGATAAGTGGTGCTAAGATTTACACAGTGCTGAGAAGAGCATGAGCATTGGGGATGCAAGCCAGCAGCCAGACTAGGAAACACCTGCAGAGCAGCGAGCCTTCCTGGGGCTTGCTCTAGAGGAAGCTGTTTGTTATAAGCATGTCAACACTCACACTCTGCTAGGAAAGAAATCCTATTTATGTAGGCCTATATGGGAGAAAAAAAAAAAATAGAATTTTCAGACCAAAGGTACAAATATTTAGTTGTGAATTGGTTCCAGCTACTTGTCAGTTAAGTTTTGGCAATTATCAGTTATTTCCACTAAGGTCATCTGGGCATTTGCAGTCTGCTTCTCTCTGAGCATGTGTTAGCTTCTGCTCATGAGTTACCTTTTTCCTTTTACTTTAGACAACCCCCCGTCTCTATCTGAGGACACAAGAGGGACCAGTATATGGCCAGGTTTCTCTGGTCTGTGTGGCCACCTTTGGGACTACCTATAAGCCTGTTGGGCTGGGGTACATTGGCCCATGGCAGCAGCAAGCACCTTTTGTGCTGCTCTCCACCTTTCACTGTCCATGCACTGCTCTGCCAGCAGGGCCATTAAATTCCATCAAGGCCCTCCATGGGCTTACCATATGCTCATGGCTGGACTGACCTCAGCTTGCTTATGAGCCAGAGGAGCTTTCCCAGTGTCTGCTCTGATGGCAGTGCATGATGCTTAGAGCACTTGTGGATAGCACAGGTTAAATAATACAGTAACTCTCTACTGGGATTTGGTGGTGAGGAGAGTGAGAATCCTTCACCCTTATGGTGTGCTGCCTTGACTCCAAACTGGTTTGCTATTTCCTGCCCTTTTGGCCATGTGTTTGTGAGTTCCTACTGTCCTTGAAATACAACTTCCTCCTGCAACAACCCCTTCACTATGCAGCTTGGATTGAAGCCTGCAGCATGCTCCTAGAGAAGACACTGCTGAGCTTGTCCTTCCAAAGCCTTAGAAGATGGCAAATCTGGGTGGACCCTTGCAGTGCTGGAGTGTAAGGAAGCCAAATCCTGCCAAGGTAAAGCTGTGTTTATAAGCTGCCGACACACAGAATATTTTTGGAAGTAATAGTTGATAGACACATGTTTTTCTAACCAGGTGCAGAAATAATTCCTTTGTGGAAGCAGCTGGCTATAATTCTCCCCTAGAAATGCAGCCAGAGGTGGAAGATGCCCCACACAGATCTCGGCCAGCACAGCTGAAAGCAGGTGTGATCAGAAGCTGCTGTGAATACACAGATCACACACATCCTGCAACTTTCACATGAAGTGTCATTGCAGCTCTCTCTGTTAGTGAAACGCAGTTGGGGAGAAAAGTGATGTATTTCTTGACTATGTAGTTTCTCTCCTGGGAGAACGAGCAACTGTCAGCAAGAATCAAAACTGTCCACTGAAAGATGTAACAATGTGTGTGACAGTGGGAAAGAGCCTCAGAGTGAAGAGGGAGAGCTCTGGAGAAGGCTTGGAGGCTGTTTTGGGAAACACGGGTCATATGTGTTTTGCAGCTTTTGGCTGGAGCTGTTAAACCCATGACTGACTGCAAGCCTGCTGGTGAACCCACTCCACTCCCCACCATGCCATCCCTCTCACCCCCAGCACAAAACTACTGCTACCTTCATCCCCTGGCATTTGAGGGTCCATCAAACAGACTTATACCTGGAGGCAAACTGCATAGCTACTCCTGCCAGGAGGGTCAAGGGGGGAAAATTGCACCGCTTTACCTGGAAGTATACCACCTGGTATGTGGTGTTTGTTCAGCTTGCAAGGAAGTGGCACATCATGGGAGAAATAAGTTCAGACTAGCCTGGAGATGCCCACCAACAGCTAAAGCCCTGCTGTCTTCTAGTTGCTATTCCCTTGGACTCAAGCAAGCAAAGAAGAAAGGTCCTTCCCAGGATTTCTTGCCAGGAAGATGCATATCCCTGTGTTGCTCACCCTGGAGTCACTGGAATTCAGCTAGCTGGGTTGTGTTTATATTATCCCAAGACAGAATCCCCCCAGTCTCTCCTCAGCATCACTATGTGCTATTGTCTAGCCCCTGTGTACAGCAGGGACGTGCTTGGTTTCTTTTTAGCCCTGTTACATCAGCAATAAACTATTCCAGTCTTTATTCACCTACTAATGAATTATACATTGATTATACAATAAGAGCTCTCTGCATTGATGGGCTGGGCTCTTGCTCTCCCACATAGCACCTCCCAAAGCACAGCTCAGCCCAGCTGTGGCCCAGCCTTCTCTGATGCCCTGAGAAAAATTAATGTTCACTTTCTGGGCTCGTGAGCTGAGAAAAGAGAGTGCCTGCTTGGATGGGAAGCCTGCTTGGGTTGTCTCTCCCTCGTCTGGAGCTCCAGCAGGAGCTGATGCTGTCCTTCCCCCCCACTTATATAACCTGACCTATCACCATAGATACATTGATATAAATATTTAAAGATGGCAGAGAGACAGGCCAGGCAGATGGGAACCATTTGTTGAGTTTATTAGAAACAGAAACTTCAAGCTCAGCTACAGGTCTCTGCTTGCTGCATCCCTCTCCCCTGAGGCTGCAAGGCAAGTGCAACCCCCCACATTGTCACAGTGCTTCAACTCAGCTTGCAGAGATGAGCATGGGGATTTTTGG